AGGGTCAGCCAGTATTGGACACTGACTGGATGTCGACAGCCATCTGGATCTTTGTCTGACATCCGAACAGAGGGCAGTCCTGAGATCCTACCTGCCGGGTGACTTGTTTGCCTTCTGGTAGTAGGTTTCACGGACCTTGAACCTCCACACAGAAGCGGGTGGGGGTGGGTGTAGGTTGCACACGGCAGGGAGGAGAAGGAAGGAGGAGGGGAGGGCGGTTAAGGCAGACCTTAGTGGGCCCAACACCTCACATTTATAGAAGTCATGCTGCTCCGGGGTCCTCTTGAGTCTGGAGAGGCGGTGCCAGGACAGGTCGTCAAGCTGGAGTCGCCAAGCAGCTTGGCCGCGGTGGGGGCTGTGAGGATTACAGTGTGAGGTCCTGCCCACCTAGGCTCCAAGGCTTGTGGTTGTGGGTTCTTAAGGAGGACCGAGTCACCAGGGTGAAGAGCTGGTTCTTGGGAGTCCTAGTCGGTCGGCTCTGGCTTGGGCAGAAACCTGTTCTCATGTTCTCGGAGCAATTGCCTGGTTAAAGACAGATATGGGAGATACGTACCCAGGGGAGGGGGATCAGTAAGAAGACGGTGGTTGAGCAAGAAGAGTCAAAAGGACTCAAGAAAGTGGGGCTCTTTGGTGTAGCTGGAGTTTGGTCAGGGCCATGGGCAGGAGGTCCGGTCCAGGAGCTGCGAATTTCTAGAGAGAGTTTAGTTAGATGGTTCAATAGGTTGGAATTGAGTGGCTATGATGAGGGTTCGAGCCAGTGACAGAAATCCAGCAGGATGTAGAGGAGGAGGGATTGATGTTGGAGAGTAGATGGAAAGTTGTGTTGATGAGGGTGGGCATAGGAGTAGGTCCAGGGTTCGTAAATAGAGAGCGACATTAGAGGATTTCCCATCCAGACAGTAGAATTGATGATTCCCTCATCATTCCGTGTCCGTTTCACCTGAAAATATGAAAAACCTGAGCAGAATTGGAGGGTCCCTTGCCAGGTAAGAGCCTGTGAGGAATGATGGGTCATCCTGTCCTGGATGGTGTCGCTTCGGGGATGGTGGGAGGCACTTGGTGAGCCTGAGCGAGGTAGGTATTGCAGTGAAAGTGGGAGGAATGTTAGAATGCGCTGATATCAAAGGAAAATGGAAGGAGCAGTGGAAGCCAGGGACCTGGAGGCTGGAGAAAAGGCGGGGAGGGAGGGAGCAGGTCGCACAGCCTGTTCCCAGGCCTCTAGCCGCTTGGATTTTAAAGTTGCTGCATTTTTCCTTTGGGAAGGGTGGAGGGGGATGGGGTGAGGTCAGAGCAGTTTTCAGTTCAGAGGAGGGGACAGTTGAGAGGAGATAAGGAGATAAGGCATTCACGGTGAAGACTGAGCTAGGCGAAGACAGAGCTAGGCGAAGACTGAGCTAGGCGAAGACAGAGCTAGGTGAAGACAGAGCTAGGCGAAGACTGAGCTAGGCGACTGTGGTCTGGGACAACAGGGCCCCATGACGGGATGCATGGCAGTGGAGGATCGGTGTCCCTGTAAAGGGAGGGGGCCAGGAGTGGGAAGAGCAGGGAAGCTGAAGGGCTCAGAGTGACTGCAGAGTGGCCACTAGGATGGTGAGGATGTCTCGTCCTAACAGGGGCATGGGGCATGCTATCATCAAGGAGGCAGGGAAGGGGTCCGGTGGCCAGAGGGCAGGTGGATTTGCCGTCAGTACCCATGTCCGAGATCTTGGAAGGATAAAGGGGCCCTAAAAAGGAGGGCAGGACAGAGAAGGCAGCCCCCGTGTCAACCGGGAAGGTGACCTACTACCTTCATTGTGACCCGAGGCTCAGCGAGGGTGATTGGAGTCATTGAGGCTGGGCTTCTTCAGTCTTCAGCCAGTTCCAACATGGCCAGCGGGTGGGTCCTGGACTGGAAGGGTGGCCCCCCCTACGCTGAGGCGTAGAGGACCCACCACTTTTCCAGGGCAGTCACTCTTCCAGTGACCATTTTGACCACATGCCGGGCAGGGCTTGGTCAGAGCCCGGGGCTGGGGGCACTGCATTGCCCAGTGGCCTTCATTTCCACATCTGAAGCATTCTCCGGTGGCGTTCCTTTCGTTGCACCCCCACCGCTCACAGCCCCCTTAGGGCCATGGCGGCTGCCGTCGACCACAGGGCCACAACTAAGGCGTGTCTGCAGGTCCACCTCCTGTGGAAGGCAGGCCTCCCATTCTGACTGTGCCTGCTCCTCCAGGGCATTAAGAACCTTCAAGGCCATTTTTCACTCGATCTCGGACCTGGGTCTGAGGACCAATAAAGACCTTAAAGGTCGGGTTAGAGAGTGGGGGGCATAGATTCAGACTATGCCCTCAGTTCCTGGACGGGACTATGGCAGGGGTAGAATGGGCGCAGAAATGGAAGAGGCTGTTTTGGAGCTGACGTTCTTAGGATTTGGGCTCTAGGGGAGAAGGAAGCTGCTAGATAAGAGGGTCTGAAGAGAGCACAGCTGCAACCTCCCGCAAAGGGAACTGGCCGGCCACCTGTGAATTAAAGTGCTGGCAGTCATGGAAGCGGAGTTTCAGCGGAGCGCGCAGAGGAAGGCCGGTGGTTAGATCTTACAGAGGGCACTGCGTGGAGTACGGGTTACTAAGGCAGGCTGTAAGGGAAGGGGAGAGCGCGGGAGAGGTGGCCTGGGTGGGCTTGGGAGAGGTATTGGCAGTTGAGTTTAAAATCCGCAACCTCCCAGGGGCAGAATGGAGGAGGAAGGACAGAAGGAAGGTAGAGCCTACGGACGCGTGTGTGTACTGACTGGGAAAGTAGGCAGGGGCGGGGGCAGCAGGGGACTTGAGTTTCCGGCTCCCGCAGCGGCTATGGTGTTAGTGGCTGTGGCGGTGCGCGGACGGACCAACTGCGTGGCGGCGTAACGGGGCACAGTGGCAGCGGAGGCGTGCAGGGGCATGGGGTTGTAAAAGGTGGTTTGGGTTTCTGGACACCGTGGGGAGGGCAGAAGAGGGGAGGCGGGGTCAGGAGGCGGTGGAGAAGGCGTGGCTGGAGGAGAATCCAGCAAGGAGGGAGGAGGGGAGAGTGTGGACGGACAGGGGCTTATGCCGGCGGGAGAGCGGGCGGCTTTCACTAGGGGAATTCGGGGGAGTTCTCCGATGGAGGGGGTGGGGGGACGCGGAGACGATGGCGTGCCGTCGCCGCGTCCCACACACAGCACATGAACCCACCCCCACACGCACCGCACACACCTGGGGCTCAGCGGCGCAGGGACAGCCGGGAGGGAGGAGGAAGGACAGGACGAGGAGAGAAGGCAGAAGGAACTGTGGGGGGAGGGATGGGGATGCAGCAGAGAGATGGAGAGAGGCTGAGAGAGAGACTGAGAGAGAGAGACTTGGAAAAATTTCCCAGTTCGCTGGCAGAAATTACTGAGATCGGTGTGATGGTAAAGTCAGGGTCCCGTTTTCATACTGAGGCCATGCTACGTAAAAAGGACGCAGGTCCGGGACAGGCCCTGTGTTTAGCCAGATCGGTGAGCCGGCACCCTAGAGGTGTGCTCAGGTCAGGTTTGGAATTTGGATTCCCCCTGTGCTTGAGCCCTGTGGCCTGTAGCGGGGCTAAAGGCTGGAGTCCCAGTGGTTTAACCCACGCTACGGAGGGACGGAGGGACCGTGGGCGGGGTAGAGGCGTCCCTGCTACCCCCCCGGGTCCGGAGGAGCCTTCCTGGAAGGGTCCGGAGAGGCAATCTCTGACGTGGGGACAGAAATGCCGGCGGGCGGGTGGCCACCTGGGACCGGCACGGGGCGGAGCGGGACTCACCGCTGATGCTGCCAAACTGGGAAAAGTTGCTGAGCTGAAGAGATGAGGTCCTGATGGGTCCAGAGCCACGAGGAGGGAGAGGCGGGCACCAGAGCCGTGGAGGGACGGCCAAATGGAGTGCTCGCGCCACCCGGGTTTCAAGGCACCAAATGTTAGGTTAGGTGGCTCAGGAGGCGGCGCAAGAAATAGAGACCAGTGAATCAGAAAAGAAAGGAAAGGAAAAGGTTTATTTCTGCGTCCCCAGGGAGACCCACGTACCCCAAGGACAGGGCACGTGGATTCACACCAACAGGGAGGGGGGCGCTTTTTTTATACTGCGGTTGGGTGAGGGGCGGGGACATGAGCTGAGGAATTCTCTGCCGCAGGGGATGGGCGGGGGTATTCAGAAGAAGTCCATATCTGTGTGGGGGTATGTGGATTCAGGGAGAAGAAGCTGGTATCTGTGTCTGGCACGTTGATCTGTGAGAAATTCCAGGGGAAGTCCATTGTCTCATCACATGTCTGCATGTATCTGATCCTGGGCTCTCTCCGACCTAACAGTTACCATGCCTGTCCTGGCCCCAATCAGGCCGCTTCTTGACCACCTGCACTGAGGCCCACCCCCTCCCTAGCTCCCATCAAAGAAAAGCTGCTGGCACTGTTGGGGTGCTTCCTCTGCACCAGGGTCTTGTCAAAGTGTGCGACCTCCCCTCAGCCACCAGATGAGGAAACTGAGGCCCAGGGAGGTCAAGCCACTTGCACGCTCTAAACCTCGGCTCATAGCTGCATGGCTCCCGAGAGCTTTCTCCTGCTCACTGTTGGGTCCTTACAGCCTGACACACAGTAGGTACTCAATTGATATTCGTAGATTGACTAATTGCTTTCTCATGGAACTCACAACTCTGTATCTCTCTGCCTGGGGTGTCCATCCCCATCTTGCAAACTCCTACTCATACCTCAAAGCCCCATTTAGAATATCCACTCCTTAGGAAGTCTTCCTGACACTCCCACTCTTGTCTGTGTTCCTCTAGTCCTCATTCCTTCCACCAGCCCAGCTCTGAGTCCATGGAACTGGAGGTGTCCATGGGGCTGGGGTGTCCATGTTTGGCTTTTTCTGCTCTGAGTGGGAGTAAGCGGGTGGGTGGGGGACGGGGAACATTAGGGAGGTTAGATCTCCCCCACGAATCTGTCTTCTCTTCCTCTCCTCTCTGGCGCTGGAAAGGAAACTTCCAGGAGCAGGAAAATTATTTTATTAGAAAATAAAGTGTTTATTCAAAGATCATTAAAAGTCCAAGAACCTGTGTGGGAGCTGGTATGAGCGGAAGTGAATCTCAGGCTCAGCCAGGCTGGGCGTGGGGCTCCTCCCCAGAGTCAGGGCCTCGGAGGAGGCCAGGTTGGGATCCCAGGATCCGGCAGGCAGGCAGAGAGCAGTCACAAAGCACCAGGACTCTGCAGAGCTGGGGCCAGTGGGCTGGTCAGCCTCCCGGACTCAGCAGCTCACCAGGTACATCCCTGTGGGGGTGGGGCCGTGAGTGGGAGGAGGGTCGCTTGTCCCTACCCTCGGATCTCCCAATCCTTCTCAAAATACCCCTTAACTCACTGCCCCATGGACCCCAGCAGCCCCTTGTGGGGGCAGGAGAACAGGGTGAGGGTGCTGGTGCAGTGGTGTTTCTGGCTGCGGGCCCTGGATCCTTGCAAGGACACCCACCCTCCAGGGGATGGCCCAGACACATTCATCTTCCTTCCTGACCCCTCCCCCTGGACCCTGACCACCCCTCCCTGTCTGTGAACACCCCACACTGGGTTTCCAGACCTGACACCCACCTATCCTTCCCAAATACCTCAAATGCCTCCCTCACCCCTGCATCCTGGCAGAAGCAGGGGGTGGGGCTTGGCCATAGCAGAGGCCTGGCTCCCAGGAAGGTGGGGGCAGTAGAGTGGGTACGTACCTGTGGCAAACCTTCTCTTTACCAGCGACATGCGGTAGCCACTGCCCACCAGCTCCACGTCCACGCCGGACAGAGTGGCCCCTTCGCTGGTGAACTGAGCGGCCACGGGGCTGGGCGTGCTGGGCCCTGAGCACGGCTCCCAGCTGGCAGACAGGCGGCCAGAGCCTGGGGAAGCCTGAGGTCAGCTGTGTCCCATCCCTGGCCTCAGGCCCACAGTGACCCAGACTCTTCCCTGGCCCTGCTTTGATTTGTGGCCTCTCTACCCCTCTGACCTCCTCTTGTGCCCCTGCACCCGTTTTCTTTGGCTCCACAAGACTGTGTGTGGTTTGTAAAGGGATCCTGCCCCAGGACCTTTGCACCTGCTGTGCCCACTCCCAGGATGCCTCTCCTTCAGCTTTGTCAAAGCCCTTCCAAGCCTGGCCACACTCCCCTACCCCAAGCACATCCCCGATTCTCCCACCTGAGACCCCTGAGTCCTGATGTACAGCCACAACTCACCCCCTGCCTCGGACACATCTGGAAGTTTCCATAGGAACCGCTTCTCCTCCAGGTTCCTGGCATCAAGAGAAGCTCGGTCAGGTCAACCCCAGAGAGGACACTTAGAACCCAGGGTCCCAGCTCAGTTTCCTCTCGGCTATATGACCGGAGCAAGCCAGGCCGCTCCCTTGCTTCAGTCCCCGTCAGTGAAGCCGGGGTGGGATGTGGAGCAGCTGGTCCCGAGGCCCCACAGCCTTGCAGCATTTTTAGAGGATGCATTTGGTCCTGTAAGCCTGGCTTCTTCGTGACAGGTTCTATCCTTTATACAGAACCAAGGCAACACTGGAGCTGGATTCAGATCCTGATGTGATCTTAGATAAGCAATTTAGCCTCCCTTTGCCTCAGTTTCCCCATCATACATAGGGACCCGGAGGGATTGCTAGGAGCTGTAAGCCAACCAGTGCGTGCTGAGCCCATGGACACACCTGGCACGGAGGAAGCTGTGTCAGATATTATCCCTGTGTGATAACAGCACCCTCAGCTGTAAGCGGTTCGAGCCCACACCGGCCAGTCAGGTGCAGGGTGGACCCTTTAGTTCAGTGGTTCTCAACCTTGGCTGCACATTAGAATCGCCTGGGAATCTTTTTAAAATCCTGATTTCTGGGCCTCATCCTCCGGAAATTCTGTTTCTTTGTTACTAATGTTGTGGCCTCACCCCATAAGAAAGAAACAGAATTTCCGGAGGATGAGGCCCAGAAATGAGGATTTTAAAAAGATTCCCAGGTGATTCTAATGTGCAGCCAAGGTTGAGAACCACTGCCCTAGTTGCTTCATCAAGGGGAGGGCTGGGGGGTTCAGGGGCACCGCTGAGCCCCTCTTGGCCATCCACGTGCCCTCACCAGGTGGCAGCCGGCTGCAGGCGGACATTGGTCACAGGCTCCCCCACAGGCAGCAGGATCTGGACATTGGTGAGTGGCGTGGGCACAGCCGTGGCACCGGGCCGGTAGCTGTACTCCACCGAGACCTGAGTGAGGGTCGCCTCACACTGCCAGTGGGCGCTCAGCTGCAGCGGCACAGACTGGGGACCCGGGCGGGAGAACTGGAAGAGAGAGGACAGAGCTTGGGCCACCCTGTCCTACCACACGGCGCACTACAGCCGGCGGGAGTCTGTGTGGCATACACCGCCCCAAGAGAGACCAGTCCGAGGCTTTGCAGATAGGAGTCTGCATTACACCACACGTCCAGCAGAGGGCAGGAGAGGGCCTCATTCTAGTACAGTCTGTGGACAGGCACCCCCGCAGGGGCCTGGGAGGGGCACTTCTAATTTGCATAATGATACCATCTGCACCGTGGAGGCCTGGCTCCCTACAATGCCTTTCTGGCCACCATTTACCCTCTGCCCCCCCTATACTCCCACCATCCCTTCCCTGCTCCCTCTGCCCTGCCCTTCCCCTCCGTATCCCCATCCCCTCCATATCCCCCATCCCTTCCGTATCCCCATCCCCTCCGTATCCCCCATCCCCTCCGTAACCCCATCCCCTCCGTATCCCCCATCCCCTCCGTATCCCCATCCCCTCCGTATCCCCATCCCCTCCGTATCCCCATCCCCTCCGTATCCCCCATCCCTCCGTATCCCCATCCCTCCGTATCCCCCATCCCCTCCGTATCCCCATCCCCTCCGATCCCCATCCCCTCCGTATCCCCCATCCCCTCCGTATCCCCATCCCCTCCGTATCCCATCCCCTCCGTATCCCACCCCTCCGTATCCCCATCCCTCCGTATCCCCATCCCTCCGTATCCCCATCCCTCCGTATCCCCATCCCATCCCATCGTATCCCCATCCCCTCCGTATCCCCATCCCCTCCGTATCCCCATCCCCTCCGTATCCCCATCCCCTCCGTACCCCATCCCCTCCGTATCCCCATCCCCTCCGTATCCCCATCCCCTCCGTATCCCCATCCCCTCCGTACCCCCATCCCCTCCGTACCCCCATCCCCTCCGTATCCCCCATCCCCTCCGTATCCCCATCCCCTCCGTACCCCCATCCCCTCCGTACCCCCATCCCCTCCGTATCCCCATCCCCTCCGTATCCCCATCCCCTCCGTACCCCCATCCCCTCCGTACCCCCATCCCCTCCGTATCCCCATCCCCTCCGTATCCCCATCCCCTCCGTATCCCCCATCCCCTCCGTACCCCCATCCCCTCCGTATCCCCATCCCCTCCGTATCCCCATCCCCTCGTACCCCCATCCCCTCCGTACCCCCATCCCCTCCGTATCCCCATCCCCTCCGTATCCCCATCCCCATCCCCTCCGTATCCCCATCCCTCTGTATCCCCATCCCCTCCGTACCCCCATCCCCATCCCCTCCGTATCCCATCCCCATCCCCTCCGTACCCCCATCCCCTCTGTATCCCCATCCCCTCCGTATCCCAATCCCCTCCGTATCCCCATCCCCTCCGTATCCCCCATCCCCTCCGTACCCCCATCCCCTCCGTATCCCCATCCCTCCGTATCCCCATCCCCTCCGTACCCCCATCCCCTCCGTATCCCCATCCCCTCCGTACCCCCATCCCCTCCGTATCCCCATCCCCTCGTACCCCATCCCCTCCGTATCCCCATCCCCTCCGTATCCCATCCCTCCGTATCCATCCCCTCCGTACCCCCATCCCCTCCGTACCCCCATCCCCTCCCTACCCCCTGCCCACCCCATCCAGCTAGGCCACCTGGTACCGCAGCAGCACTACATTGTAGTAGGAGGCGGCTGGATTCTGCTCTGCCTGGCGCTGCAGGGCCTCCGTCAGGGCTGTCATGTTGAGCCAGAAGTCTTTGGTCTCAGGGTCGCTCTGGGAGGGGTCGCTGCAGAGACCCGGAATAATCACCCCCACCCTCGGAAGAAGCCTCTCAGGGTCCCCAGCACCCCACCCACCCCAAGGGCTTCCTAAAGGTGCTGATTTCCCAGGCCACCTTGGCCCCGCAAAGAGCATTTGCAGGGGGGAGAGGCGGGGGAGGAAGCAAAGGAAAGTGAGGTCCAGAGAGAGGGAGGGACTTGCCCAGGGACACAGGGCAAATCCTGGGAGGCAGAGGAGGAGTTTACGGCGGGGGAGCTCCTGGCCCCCACTAGCCGCTGGGACCCCCTGCTCCTGCCTCCCTCCTCCCAGCAGTACCTGAAGAGCAGGTCGGCATTGGGCTGGAAGTGCTCGATGGGGGTGGTGTGTACTAGACGGAAGCTGAGGACCGGTGGGGGTGGGGTCCCGCTGAACACACGCACAATGCCGGCTGGGAAGGTCATGGTCAGCTCCCCAGTTACTCGAGCCAGGCAGCTGGGTGAGAGGGGAGGGGACTGGGCTTAGGCTCAGGGCTCTGCCCGCACCTCATCCTCCCCTCTTTCCTGGGGCTCCTTGGGTCTGCAGAAGCAGCAAGGCCCTGGCTACACCCCAACCTCCCCCCCCCCCCATTGTGTCCCCGCCTGCATAGCAATCCAGGCTCCAGGAAGAAGCCACACTGGGCTGAGGAGGCAGGAACAGCTCCTGCCCTGGTTCTCTTTTCCCCTCGGCCGCCAGGAAGCTCACAGCAAAAATTCAGCTTTAGAATTGTCTTCATGTTGGGCGTGGGGTCTAAGGCTCTCTTCCTCTCTTTGGTTTGACGTGAAGTTCTTTTCTTCTGGGCACCACCCGAGACGACCCCCGGCCCCTCAATTCACCCTTTACCCACCTCCTCCACGGGCCTGGCCTCTGGAGTTCCTGCCTTCAGGTTGAGGCCTCTACACAGTGGCAGCAATGACGCCAGCCCTGTTCCCATGCCCTCCGTCTCTCCCACTGCCCTTCAGGAGAGGGGCCTGGAGGCTCAGCCCAATGGTTAAGGCCCTTCCGTGGGAAAGCCGGTCACAAAACCTGGAGGCTGTCCCTGCTAGAACCCAGACACAAGCCCCAGGGAGCCCCGTTGCCCCTCACCGTCCGCACTCTCCCCGGCACTGCATACCTAGGGCTGTGGCCACGGAAGTAGGCGTGGACATACTCGGTGAAGACGGTGGCCACGGGCAGGGCATCCTGGGAGCCCAGGACCACAGGGCTTGGGCCCCGGGAGATTCCTGGCGGGGGTGGGGGGGGAGAATGAAGGACAGATAAGAGCGTGAGGACAGGTTTCAGGCTCCAGAACCTGCCCTCTGCCAATAGGGTGTCTACGGTATCACAGCCCCCACCCACCCCGGCCAGAGAAGGTGAAGCCCACAGGTACCGTGTCCTGTCTGGGAGGAGACGCTGCAGCGCTCGGGGGCGGTGCCGGGGACGGAGGAGCCCAGCGGGGAGGAGCTCAGAGAATGAGGCTGGAAGGGAAGGAGACAGGCCGGGCTGTGGACACGCCAGGAGCAGTGTCCTGCTGCCGACCGGAGGCGCCCCAGCCCAGCGCGGCCATGCCCCTCAGCCTACCAGGTCCCCGTTGCTGCTCACGAGGGGGCAGGACACCTTCCGGGAGCGGGGCCTCCGGGGCGGGGCTGCCAGGCCCTCCGTGGCCGGAAGGTCAGCAGGTCCGGGCATTGGGTCTGGGGAGCGAGTGAGAAAGACGGTGGCTGAGAGGCTGCCTGGGCCTCTGGGGCCTCCCCAGGGGAGGATCTCAGTCACAACCCGGGAGTCAGACTGACTGTGGGGAGACCCCTGGGTGGTCTGAAGTCCTGGGGCTTCAGAGAAGGTGCCAGACAGGACTGCGGACGCCACCCACAGCCCTGACACCAGACTGTGGCCTAATAAGAGGGGAGCTCCCCGCCTCGGAGCCTGGGTGCTCAGGAGGCAGGCACGCTATGGCGAGGGGCGGGGGTTGGAAGAGGGCTTTTCCCTGACTTTCAGCCATTCCATGACTGTCACCCTTTCTGAGAGGGTAGCAGTGGCCTCCTCCCCTGGCCCACGTCTGAGTCTCACCCTTCTTGTCACGGTGTCCCGCCCAGGGTCCCCTCGCTCTCCTGCCTCCCCAGCAGCCCCTGCTCTGCTCCAGCTGAACCGCTTACCCACGCAGCCCCCTCCCACCCGCCCAGGCCACGTTCCTCTCCCTCCCGTTGGGGACCGTTTCCGAGGTGCTGCCATCCCCTGGGCTGCCGGGTGGGGAACTGCACCCCTGGCCTTGGTCGTGCCCGTCCCCCGGGGTGACAATCCCACGCCAGTGACGTTGCTGAGTGTGCCCTGGCCGCACAACCGGCTGGCTGAGAATCCCTGTTCTGCAGTGAAGCTCTGACTACTCAGCTCGTCTACGCTCACCGTCTCCACTCCCTCCCTCCCGAGGGCCCTCCCATCAGGGTCTTTCTCTAACCATGGCCTCTGCCTGGCACCCCCTCACCACTGCTGGGGACCTCAGTGGTCACAGCCGTTTCTAAATGCAAAGGGGACTCCACCCTCCTCGTGTGACCTCCAGGCACCCACTCCTGCCTGCTCGCCTCCTCCCTGCCCCTGCCCTGCCTCAGCTCAGCCTTGGACCCTCTCCTTCCTCTCCGGCCCCAGGTGCCGGTGCCTGACCCATCTCCTTGCTGACGTCTTCCCCCCCTCCCCGCTCCCTGCCATCCCTCTGTTCTGGCCACACCGGCCTCCCCGCTGTTCCTCAGGGGGCCTAGCGGGCTCCCACCCCATTGCCTCTGCTGGGAACCTCTGCTCCCACATCCATATAGCTTCACCTCACCTCCATCATGTCACAGCTCAGATGTCCCTCCTCAGAGAGGCCCTTATGTTTGGGAGCCCTCACCGGGCACCTGCCACCTCCTGCCTTGTTAATTACCCATCTCATTAAATACCCTCTCCTTGCAAGGGTGAGGTTTCCGCCAGCCTCCATCTCAGCTCTGTCCCCAGCCCCTGGCACTGATCATGGTAGATGCCCCATCCTCCCCACAGCTCCCATAACAGTTCCTGGCTGCAGGACTTACCGCCTCCAGCCACAGCCTCCCGCCCCCAGGGGCCTGGGGATGCTGCAAGGGGCAGTGGCGAGTCTGATGACAGCAGGGACCGCGTTCCCCTAGACTCGGGTGGTGGCTGCGGCCTACAGGTAGGTGGGCTCTGCGGGGTGCCCGGGCGGAGGGCCCAGGAATCTGGGAAGGGGCCAGGTGCCGCATGGGATGGTGAGTCCAGGCCGGAGTCCTCCACGTTCTCCGGCGATGAGGAGGAGAAAGGCGAGGGGCTGGAGGTGAAGCCGAGGCTGCTGGAACCTGGGGGGAGACGGGGCGACTAGCTCCAGACCCTGCCCACGCGGGGGTCCGGGCCATTCAAAGCCAGTGCTCACAGCCCACCCCAGGCCACTCCCGCTCGTTCCTTCTCTCGCCACTGACGCCTCACCCACCCCCCACTGCCACCCCCACTACCAAGGGGCTCCACCTTCTCTCTGGCTCTTCCTACGCAGGCTGCGGCCCCGCCCACCCTCACACTGACCTGGCCCCACTGGTCTCCCCCTTGGCCCACAAAGGCCCCCAGCGTCTGCCCTCGCCCTCCTGCCCACAGAGCCACCTACGCCTGCAATGGCTCCATCCGTCCACCCGCCGGCCACACCCACGCTCCCGGAAGCCCTTACCCCCATTACCTGTAAAGTCTTCATGGTCAAAGGCTGACTCTAGGGGTGGCCCAAAGAGGGTCTTGGAGGCCAGCTCATCGGATTGCAGCTTCTCTGTGCAGCTGGGGACCAGACGGACAAGAGGGGCTGTTCTGTTGTCTCCGTGCCTCCTCTCACCTCAGGGCCTTTGCACATGCTGCGGAGTTTGGCCTCCGTCCTCCCAGTTCTCCCTGTGGCCACTCCTGCTTCTCCTCAGGGCTCAGCGCAAAGTCGTCCTCCCCACAAGCCCAGAGGCCCCCCACTGCCAGCCCGACTGAAGTCGCCACTTCTCTCTTCCATCGCATCACCCGCTTCGGTTTCGTCAGAACACTTGGAAGTAGTGAATATGCTGGAACTTATTCATTATTCATAAAACCTGAGCTGCGAGGATGTAACTCTGAGAAGGAGGACCTATCTTGCTCCCATATCCTCAGAACCCAGAATGGCATGAGTACACAGTAGGCACTCAATAAATGTTTACCAAATGAATCACTGCTAGAAAGCGGTCTCTCAAATACAGCACAGCCTCAACTCCCTGCCTGATGAGAGGAGGGGACACAGAGACACAGGGAGGGAGCCGGGGAGGTGGGGAGACACGAGGGGGATGGCCCACCGGCCCACTGTGCAGAGGCAATGTCCCACCCCGTGGAACTCACCTGCTGGCCCTCGGGGCGGACCGAGGCCTCTGTGGCTTCCCAGCAGCATCCCCTGCAAGAGAAGGGCCTCCCCTCTGAGCCGTCCTGTCACCCTGCCTGCTCCCGACTCCACAGACCAGGAGGCCAAGGCCGGAGAGGCCAGATCAGGCAGAGAGGGCTTTGGGCCTGAGCCGCGCTGAATCCAGGTTTTGGCTTCTTTCCCAGAAACCCCTCTTGGGTGTCAGTTAATTCTCATCATGACCTCATTTCTCAGAAGAGGAGGCTGCGTGGCAGAGTGGGTGAGCGGCCTGCCCAAGTCACACGCAGAGCTGGCATGCAAACCCGCCCAACACTTTAGGCCTAGTCCTCCCTCCATGTTCTCCTCCCGCCCCCCCAACACCCCAAAACCAAACACCCCTGAATACCGGCCGGTGTGGCTCAGAGCTCACTGGTTTGATTCCTGGTCAGGGCACATGCCCGGCTTACGGGCTCCATCCCCAGTGGGGGGCATGCAGGAGGCAGCCGATCAACGATGCTCTGTCATCATTGATGTAGCTCTCTCTCTCCCCCTCTCTCTAAAAAATCAATTAAAAAACTTATTTAAAAAAGAGACTCCTGAACAGGTACTCACGTGAGGAGTGGCGTTTCATGGTGCCCTGTGGACAAAGGGGTGGGGTCAGGCGGGGTGCCTCTAGCCGGCCCCTGGGCCCACCTGGAACACCTGTCCCAGCCTCACCCCTGGGCCTGGAGGGAGGATGAGGCTGCCAGCCGTGGCCCTGAGCTGTGCGGCGGCCGCCTCGGGGCTGCAGGCCGGGGCCCGGGCCGGGGCGGGCTTGATGTGCACGTAGAACTTGCGGGGCTCTTCATCGTCAAAGTCTGAGTCGCTGGATGAGAAGCGGGAGGGCTCAGCTGTGCGTGCGCCTCGGTCAAGGGGCCAAGCAGATGCCGATGCAGGGCCTCCCTCCAGGCAGCCCTCAAACTGACCATATCCCTTCCCGTTCAAACCCTTGGAGGCCCTGCAGCATTCTCTCTCGCCTGCCACCCTTGGCCCCGACACCATTTTACCCCCCCACCCCCTTACCCCGATCCAAGCCCTTGCACAAGTATGTCCTGCCCTAAGTAGTGAACGCCTAGCCCATTCAACTGTCAAGCCCCAACACGGGTACCCCCTCTTTCAGGAAGCCCTCTTGGATCCCCTCTATTGTGACCCAGCCCCTCCTCTCTCCCTCTTGACCAGCCCTGACCCCACGGGGCAGGGGTCTTTGCTTGGTCCTCACTAGAGGCTCCCCACAGGGTGTACGCAGAGAAGGGTGCTAATGGCAGCGAAATCACTGCAGGCAGAGCTTTCTCATTGCTATGCCAACAGCCGCCCCCAGAGGGCGCCACGAGGATATTGTTCTGGGTCACATCAGGCCGGACAGTGAAACCTTCTTCATCCACTTCTGCACAGGCCTGGAGGACAAGCGGCAAGTCAGGCTCTCCCCTACCAAACCTCGATTTCCACCCTGTACCCCTTCACCCGCTCTCCCCCTCCCCCCCCTCCCCTTGCCTCCCAGACCTAAAAACAACCCTGAGGGCACTCACCCGTGGGTCGGGCTCCAGAGAATCTCTGCAGATAAAAAAAAGAGACATTGGTATCAGCCCTCCCGCCCCATCTGCCCTGCCCTTGGCCCCCAACACTGGAAATGGCAACTGAGGGGGTGGGCCTGGATTGCGATAATGTCTGGAGCTGGCCCTGCAGGTGGGGGAACCCCGGGGCTGGCCTGGGGTGAGGGACAGTGCATCTGGGGTTGGCAAAGCAAGGGGTGTTCTCAAACAGCTGGAAGGGGAGGAACCCTGGAGCTCATCTGAAGGGCTTGCCTGAAAACATGGAACGTAGGGGCTAGTCTTGGAAAGAAAGGATCGGGGCCAGCCTGGGCAGGGTCAACCTGGGCCAGTCAGGGGACTGGGCATAGAAGGAGTGGGTACTAGTTTGGGCAGAGAGACTCCCGGGCTCATCTGGGCCGAGTAGGAACGGCTGGGACAGGTCAAGTGAGGAAATAGCAGGACTAACCTTGATCAGGGGAGGAATCCTGGACCGCCCTGGGCAGGGGCAATCCTAGGTGAGTCCTGGTCTAGCCTTGGCAGGAGGAAGACTTCTGGACTAGATCGGGCAGGTAGCCCTGAGCTAGCCTGGGTCAGGGTACTCCGTGCCCAGCCTGGAGTGAGAATGCTCCTGGGCTAGCCTAAACGGGGGACTTCTGGGACAGCCTGGCAGGAGGAGGTCTCCCGGGCCAGGGCAAGGGGGGTGGGGGGATACGGGGGGTGGGGTGGGGGGCGGGGTGCTTCCTCACACAGCTGCAGGTGGCTCCCGCTCCCGCCGGCTCAGTCCTGGGAGGCGAAAGGCCTTGGCTCCCCGCAGACGTTTCATTGCTGAGGACGGATGATGGGTGCAGCTGAGCCCTGGGGGTGCCCCCTTCCCATTCAGCTCTGCCTCCCTTTTCCCTACAGTCCAGCCTGGGCATCCAGGTCCAGACGTACTTGCCTTCCTGCAGGGCGGCTGCGCTGTACGCCTCAAAGTCCAACGGCCCTGAGACAGAAGGGATTGGGACACTCAGCAGAGAGGGCGCCTGGGCCCCAGGAGGGTAGCAGTACACCCCTGGCCACACACACACACACACACACACACACACACACACACGCACCCGTCCCGGAGCTGGTCCTGAGGGGATGGGCCAAGGGTTCTGCTCCCACCTTGGGACGGACTGGGGGGAGGGGTGATGCCTGAGTCATTTCTACGTCCAGCTTTTCTGGATGGACCTTGGGTGGGTCAGGGATGGACCACAAGTCTATGCCATGGGCTGGGCTGCAGTGCCAGGGAGAGGAGCCGGGGCTCTCCTCAGGGAGATGGGGAGCCAGGGAGGGTGTGTGGGCAGAAGCAGGACATGACTGATCTGGGGCCAGTGAAGGGCTAGATTAGAATAAGGGCCTAGGCAAGGAGGGGCGGGCTGAGCTGTGTAGCTAGGAGGGAGAAAGGACAGGCCTTCGTGCTAGACTAGACTTGGGGACAGACTGTGCACCAGCATCTACTGAATTCCTACTGTGTGCCAGGCTGACACTTCGCCTATTACCTGCATCAAATTACTGAACATTCACAGCCATCAGTTGGGGATCAGTATCACCCTCACTTTACAGACGAAGAACCGAGGCTTAGAGAAGTCAAGGCCCACATCCGAGTCCTCACCGCAGAAAGCAGTGAGGAAAAGGCTCACACCCAGGTCTGGCCCCAAGCTCTTGCTCTGAACGTTTCCCCGACCCTGCACCTGGGCAGTTTCCAATTGGTCTTTTGCTCAACAGCTCGTAAGGCCTCCCTTGGCCCTTGGGGGTAAAGTTTGAACAACTGAGCCCGGCATTCGTGGCCCCTCCGGTATCTGGTTGTATGAGATTTACACATAAGATCAGGCATCAAATCCCCTTCCTCTGTGGGCTGTAGAGTTAGACTTGTCATCAGCCCATTTCACTGATGAGGAAACTGCGACCCAGGGAAGTCTCCTGCCTCTTGAGCCCTGTCCTTTCCACACAGCCTGACCCCCAGGTGCCCCGACTCACCAGGCTTCTCCCGGCCCGTGCCCTTGCTTTCTGCAAACTTTCTCAGCAGCACTTCCACGCTGATGTTCTCTATATTTTGCTTAAACTCCTCGTGAACCTGGGCAGAGTGGGTGGGGTGTGTAACTGGGCAAGGCCAGGGACCTCTTGTTCAGCACCTCCACCCTCATGCCCCACCCCCGGCCCCACTCACCTGCCCGATCTGCACGTGGGTGTCCTCCACCGAGTGGGCATAGGAGCCCAGCAGCGTCTTCATGTGGCGCAGGTGGGTCTCCTCCATGGTCTGGAAGTGCTGAGGCAGCAGGGGAGGGGCCAGCAGAAATGGGGAGGCCACCAGGAGGTGCCCTGTGACTTGGCCCGATCAGTCAGAATATCTCAACCCCCTAGGCCCAGTGATCGGTTTGGGGAAGAGCCAAGGAGAGCCTGCCCTAGGTCTTCTGCTGGGACTATAGGGAAAGGACATTTCTTATCTCGAGCCAATGAATTGGTGGGATGCATGTGGAAGCTGCTGGTGGCCACTTTGCCAGACACACACACACACACAGATGGGGGCGTGTTTGCTTGAGAATGAAGCCCCAGAGAGAAAAACAGCCTTGAAAAGGAGAGAGGCACAACTTCCTGCCAACACCATTTGAGCACCTGGATCCAGCCATGCCTGGAACCCTCCCCTCCAACTTTTCTGTCCCGTGAGCCTATAAATCTTCTTTGTCAGTTTGAATGAAGGTCTCTATCATGTGTAACTTTCCATCACTTGCAAAATCAGAAGAAAAAAAAAATCTGATTCCTGATCCTGAGATTCCAATCTGCTTTTCACACATTTGGATGGACAGAGACCCAGAGAGATACAGGATCTTGTAAAAAGTGACTTAGCTGGTGAGGAATGGAGGCTGGACCAGAACCCAAGCCTTTCAGCCACCATGAAATGTCAGGAGACTCTTAGAGTCTAAATCCACCCTATCTTGTTAAAAAAACAAAAACAAAAAACCTCATCCTATTCTGTATAATAAAAGGGTAATATGCAAATTGACCCTAATTGCGGAATGACCAGAATGACAGGGCGCTATGACGCGCACTGAAACCAGGGGGCAGACGCTCAATGCAGGAGCTGCCCCCTGGTGGTCAGTGCGCTCCCACACTGACCCACACTGAGCTCCGCTCAGCCACAAGCTGGGCTGACTGATGGCTGCAAGTGCAGCGGTGTTGGAGGGAGCCTCTCCCGACTCCTCGGCAGCACTGAGGATGTCCGACTGCAGCTTACGCCTGCCATTCACTCCCCTTTGCCGGCTGCGCGTGCCCTATCCCTGGGATTACCATTTGCCTCCATCCTGTGATGACAATGGACCAACCCAGCCATCTGGTCGACCTCGCTTTGGTTGAGGGTTATAAAAGTGGCTTCCAGGCAGGTGGCGCATGACTTGTGAGCCAGACAGGGACAGGTCGCATCATGACCACCCAGGTGGCAGGGACGCGGGGCTGGGCCTAAGCTGGCAGGTGGACATCCCCTGAGGGGTCCTGGACTGTGAGAGGGCACAGGCCAGGCTGAGAGACCCCCCCCCCCCGCCCCAGGGCATGAATTTTTGTGTACCAGGTCTCTAGTCAATAATAATATAAATAAAAATTATACCTCATAGAATGGTTTCTATGCACCTGGTACTAGTCTGAAAACTTCAAATACAGTGACTCATTTAATCTTCACAACAACTCTATGAGGCAGGTACTATTACTGTTCCCATCTTACAGGTATGAAAACCAAGGCACAAAAATTATTTGCGCCCTAGCTGGTTTGGCTCAGTGAATAGACCATCGGCCCTTGGACTGAAGGGTCCCGGCTTCTGGTCAAGGGCACGTACTTTGGTTGCAGACTCAATCCCCGGCCCTTATCAGGGTACGTACGGGAGGCAACCAATCGATGTGTAGCTTTCATATCTATGTTTCTCTCTATCTCTACCCCTCCCTTCCACTCTCTCTAAAAATCAATGAAAAATATCCTCAGATGAGGATGAACAAAAATATAAAATAAAAAGCATTTGACTTTTGAAATAATAATAATAATGTCAACAACAATAATACTAGCTAACTGGCTCTAGCCTTTGATGGCTTTATCCCTGTGACTGAGGCTCCTGGGAGTTGAGGGTGTGGGAGGTCTGGACTTCTGAGGCCCATGGCCGGGGATGTGTGGTCTCTCAGGCACAGACCTCCGATTCTTACCAGAGCGGAGTCCAGCATCTTCTGCTCGAAGTCGGCGCGGGCGGAGTTGTACTTCTCCACGGAGCGCCGCAGGCTGTCCGCCGCCTTCTTGGTCTTGGTCTCTGCCTGGGAGGCACGGAGAGGGGACAGGGTTGGGCTAGGACACCCAGGGAGCTTCCCCCCACCGCTCCCCCAGCTGCTGGACTTCTTGGGGTGCCCAGGGTCTGGGGACCACACTCAGGTTCGATAACCATAGCTCTGTGACATGTTTTCGCTCTCCCATCAGGCAGCCCTCACACATCGGCAAGCTCCCCGGACCTGCGGACGTGGGCTGGTGTGGGCTGGAGACGTGCAGCGGTGGGCTCACCTTGTCCATCTCTTTCTGGCTCGTGCTCTCCCTTCGCAGCCGCTCCTGGTCCATGCACCGGTTCAGGTAGTTCTCTCGGGACTTGGGCAGGAGCTGGCTGACGCCCGCGAGGACCTGCACAGCATCCAGGGTGCCCCCTGCTTCCTCTTTCAGCTGCGAGGGAGGGGAAGGGGGAGCTATGGGTGCCACCTGACACCCATGGGCGCAGGACCTGAATAGATCTCAGGTGCAGACCGTGAAGTTCCCAGCTTCCCAAACATTGTGGGATTCTCTGAGTATTATTTTAATACAAAAAATTGTCATGTTTAAAGTAGGTAATATTTACACATAATTCAAAGAGTTTTAAGGGGTGAGCTCCCTAAAACCTCCCATACCCTGCCCTGGCTGAATAGCTCAGTTGGTGAGAGCATCGTCCTGATACAGCAAGGTTGTGGGTTTGATCCCAGGTCAGGGCACATACAAGACCTAATGAATATATAAATAAGTGAGACAACAAATTTCTCTCTCTCTCTCTCTCTCTCTCTCTCTCTCTCTCTCTCTCTCTCTCTCTCTCCTTTCTACTCTGTCTCTAAAAAATCAATAATAGCCTGACTGGTGTGGCTGAGTGGTGGAGCATTGACCTATGAACCAGGAGGTCAGGGTTCAATTCCCGGTCAGGGCACACGCCCGGGTTACAGGCTCAATCCCCAGTGTGGGGCCTCCAGGAGGCAGCAGAGAGAGATCTATGATTCTCTCTCATCAGTGATGTTCCTATCTCTATCTCCCGCTCCCTCTCTGAAATCAATAAAAATAAAATATATATTTAAAAAAATAAAAATCAATAATAAAACAAAAAAGCCTTCCATTCCCTGATCCCCAGCCTCCCAGGCCTCTGCCAGGGGGCCCCCATTATTACCATCATGGGTCTCCAGAATTAATCAGCACATGGACGAGTAAATATGCTTGTTTTCGCCCATTTTTTTAATGACAAATTGCAGCAGCCTGTGCTGTTTATCCCACTGGTTTTTCTACTTCATAGTCCAGTCCTAAGATTGTTTCACATCAGCCCACAGGAAACTTCCTTGTGCCCAATTTTTAAAAAATTGTGATAAAATACACATAAGATTTACTATATTAACCATTTGTAAGTATACAGTATTGAGTACTACTACCAACTCCCCTTTTTAACAGAGTTAAAAATGCAGATTTGGGCTCTGTAAATGCCAAGCACCTATGAATTATCAGACGCTACTATTTTGGGCTCCTGAGAGTCTAAGGCTTGACGCTTTCAAGATTCTAGGTTTGAAAGCGTCTAGACATGTCAGATAATAACATCTGTAGGTGCTAACCGTGGAGATGAGAGGTTAGCAAGCTTTTTCTGTGAAGGGACAGACAGCAAATGGGTTTGCCTGTCATGGGCTCTCAACTCAGAAAAAGTCAGACTATTGTACACAAGTGGACATGGGTGTGTGCCAATGAAACTCGATTTACTGGCACTGAAACCTGAGTGTCATGTCGTTTTCACGTTTCACAAAATATTCTTCTCTGGATCCCACCACCACCATTTAAGAATGTAATAACCAGCCCTCGCCGGCTTGGCTCAGTGGATAGAGCATCGGCCTGCGGACCGAAGGGTCCCAGGTTTGATTCCGGCCAAGGGCACATGCCTGGGTTGCGGCTCGATCCCCATTAGGGGGCGTGCAGGAGGCAGCCGATCAATGATTCTCTCTCATCATTGAAGTTTCTATCTCTCTATCCCTCTCCCTTCCTCTCTAAAATCAATAAAAACATATTTTAAAAAAATAAAAATAAAAATGTGATAACCATTCGAGTTCGTGGGCTGGACAGAACCGGGTGGCGCTGGGTCGGCCCCCAGGCTGCGGCGCACAGACTCTGCTCCAGGATTGAGTCTGAAATGTCTGGACAGTTCCCTGGTCTGCGGGGTTCTGGGTTCGAAATTTCAGAATTCCCAGCATCCGCAGCGGCACAAGTGGAGGCTGGAGGTTTGCAGGCCTCAGAAGGCCTGGGCTCCTTTCAGCCGCCGGCGCCCCCTGCCCACCCCACCGGGCAGTGGCCCCAGGCACACACCTTCTTGTGCATCTTGAGCTGCTCCTCGCTGTAGCGGAGCACGTCCTTGATGAGGTCCTGCAGCTTCCGGGTCAGCTCCAGGTGGCAGAGCGCCAGCTTGTCCGAGGACACACGGAAGACCTCCCAGAGCGGGGCAAAGGTCCTGGAGACGGGCACGGTCACACGCGGGCCCAGCAGGCCCAGCACCTCTGGGTCCCCTCAGACAGCATAACTGGCATTGGCTCTGGCACCTACTGTGTGCCAGGCCCTGCTAAGCATCAACACACATTAACTCATTTAGTCCCCACGGCACCCATATCAGGCAGGCTTGTGACAGATGGGGAAACTGAGGAATAGGAGGCTCCGTGGCTCATGCGAGGCCCCACAGCGAATGACCATCAGAGCTGGGATGTAAACTCAGGCCCTGAGGCCCAGAGTCCTCGCTCCAGGCCCCACCTGATAACGCAAAGGCAGCAGGGACCCAACCAGCCCCAACCAAGTTCACGGGGCCTCCCTGCCTCAGCAGAATCCCCCTCCCGCTTCCCCCGCCTTCCCTCCCTCGGCCTCCATTTCTGCCCCTGACAGAACTTTTGCCCCACAGCAGCCACAGGGAACTTTGCAAATGCCAGTGGGACCACATCGCATCCTTGTTTAAAAGTCAGCTGTGCGTCAGGCCCCGTGTCCAACCCCCCATCTCATCTCCCGCTCACCCAGGCCCTGCAGCATACCAGCCTCTTTGCTCCTCCTTGAACATATAGGGCGTGGCTGCGCCAGGGCCTCTACCCGGTCGAACAGCCGGCCTGGGTCTCTGCCCCCCAGACACTCATTCCCAGGGCTGACTCCTTCCCGCTATTAAGGTCTCAGCTCATAGAACCGGAGGCCACCCCGGAGGAGGTGTCCAACCTCTCACGCTCTTATTTCATTGCCTTCCTAGCACTCTTAGCCCCAGGAAAGGACTGTTCATGTTTGTAGCTAACATTTGTCTTGTCACACATCCTAGATGTACATGGCATGAACATAGCCTGAAGGTAATTGAGGATTTTATCCGTCTTGGTGGCCACTGGGTTACTAGTGCCTCGAACAGTACCTGGCACACAGTAGGTACACAGTAAGTATGTGTTAAATGAGTGAATGAGATAGTGAATGAATGAATGAATGAATGAATGAATGATCTACCTTCCTCTGTCTGATTAGCCCCGTGAGTGGGGGTATGACTCCCTATCCTACACAACACACCTGTGAAAAGATGTCCACCCCTGGGAAGGCTCCTGATGGCCCCAGGGCCCCACAACCTTGGGGACCCCTACCCCACCCATGGCCCACTCACCCCACGGGGGTCCCGTTGCTGGCCAGCTTGGAAAGTTTTGCCATCGCTTTCGAGTAGGTCTCCTCGATAGTGGCCCTGGATAGGAGGACAGGGAAAAGCTAGGGAAGGTTCTGGGCACCCATGGGAGATACCCTGGCCCCCCTGAGCCTCAGTTTTCCCACCTCAAACATCTGAGCAGTGGCTCTTAGTGAGGACAGTACCAGGAAATTCAAGGGAGAGGTTTTTATCCTTAAATAATACATTTTACAATCGTAGCGGTTGTAGTAGCAACAATAGCAGCAGCAGGTCAAAAAATTTTTGAGCACATATTATAAATGCTGTATAATATAAATGAGAAAAAAACCACATAACGTTTATATGGTTTTTCTCATTTAATTGCAGCAAGCAAACTCATATCTCCTTCTTCCCTTTGGACAGACACCACTAAATGCCTACCTCGTATCCACTCACTTTTTAAAAAATATATATATTTTGCCAAAACCGGTTTGGCTCAGTGGATAGAGCGTCAGCCTGCGGACTGAAAGGTCCCAGGTTCGATTCCAATCAAGGGCATGTACCTGCATTGCGGGCTCATCCCCAGTAGGAGTGTGTGCAGGAGGCAGCTGATCGATGTTTCTCTCTCATCGATGTTTCTAACTCTCTATCCCTCTCCCTTCCTCTCTGTAAAAAGTCAATAAAATATATATATTTTTTTAAAATATATTTTTACAGAGAGGAAGGGAGAGGGATAGAGAGTTAGAAACATCGATGAGAGAGAAACATCGATCAGCTGCCTCCTGCACACACCCCCACTGGGGATGAGCCCACAACCAAGGTACATGCCCTTGACCGGAATCGAACCTGGGACCCTTCAGTCCGCCGGCCAACGCACTATCCACTGAGCCAAACCAGTCAGGGCTCCACGCACATTTTCATCTGGATTAATAGAACCTTACTTTTGTTTGGGGCAGCAATGAGCCCAGTTAAAACCAATTGCCCATGGGGGCATCTTAGGAGAGAGGCATCCGTGGAGTACCGCAGGGTGGAAGACCCACCAAATAGAGAGTGGCCTCTGTCCTGTATGGCAAGTCCCACTTGACAGCTATGAAGAGAAATGCTTGGTTATAATCCTTTGAACTCTCTGCCCGCATGTAATAGGCACTCACTGCTGGGTGGCCAGCGAGCTGCTTTGCAATCTGATGTATTATGTTTTCTGGGATATTAACAGCAGAACACTTACATGCGGAAATGTAGACTATTTTATCATATGTGTTTTCTTTTAGCATGCTTAGGGCACAAGATTGCATTTTCAAATTCCCCTTTAGGTAGGTCATATGTCTTTCCAGGAGGCATGAGACACCTGGGGAAGGTTGTTTACAGGAGATCATGGTGCTGAGAGTGTTGAGAAGACTAGTTTTGAGGGTCTTCAAGCAAGCGTGGTCCCTGGAGCCCACAGGGATCTGCACCTGAGGGGGCGGGGCCTGGGGTGGCTGTGAGCCGAGATGGGCGGGGGCACGCAGTAGGCCAGGCTGGGTGGACTGTGGGGCACGGCCAGCCGTGTGTAGGTGGGCATGGGAACCTCACCTCTCCCGGATGAATTCTGCCAGCTCCTTGGTGGAGATGGGTCCCTGCTTCATGTTGTGGTACAGAACCTCAAAGCCATGGTTCTTCTCGCCCTGCAAAGATGAAGCGGAGACTGAGAAAGGATGCAGAAAAAATATCAGTGTTGTCCAGCAACAGGGACTTAAACGGAGGAGCCAACCAGCAGAAGTCCATCCCCTTGGCTCCAGGGATGGGTTCATT